TTATAATGGGTTTTCATGTTTTTGAATCATCGCTCCGGCCTGACAGGGCATTATCACAGTATGTTAAGGGGCGTAACATTTCCGTCACACGCTTGAGGTATTCGGCCAATCACAATGCACTGGATAGCTGGCCAATCACAGCACACCTCGCTTTTTCAGACCGATGAGCTTTGTAAAAATCGACGCGTTTCAGAAAGGCGGGGCATAGAGGAGAAACAATAATGTACAGTATGTGGAAAATAATGTGTTTTTTTAACCTTAAACCGCATAAACACATTTCATTACACCAAATACACCAAATAATGTTCTTTTTAGCAACATCATATGACCCCTTTAACTGTTAATTCAACTGAATTAACACATTAAAGGGGTCATCGGATGCCCATTTTCCACAAGTTGATATGATTCTTTAGGGTCTTAATGAAAAGTCTATTACATAATTTGGTTAAAATTTCTTAATGGTAGTGTAAAAAGTGTTTTTGCCTTGTCAAAACTAGGTCTGTTTTCAGCAAGCTGTTTTTTAGTCCATGTCGCTTTAAATGCTAATGAGCTCTGCTCACCCTGCCCCTTTCTTCCATGGGGTGACGAGCAGACTAAACTTCAGCAGCGAAACTTGATGTGCCTATTGTTCCTGACAGGGGACAGAGATGCTGAGGATTCCAAGTCAAGCAAAAATCCTGCAGAGAGATGCTCAGTGAAAGTGCAGTGAAATGTGTGTAAGTGTGTCAGAGACGCTGTAGAAGGACAGAATGCCACCCAGCCAGTCTAGGCCGACTCTAGTAGAGGGAGGTGAAGGGGCAGGTACGTCGGTTCTCTTATTATTATGACAGGCAGTAAATCTGTTATCAGAGTTGAACAGAATCCAAGACTTTCCATTGAGTCCAAACCGACATTCTCTTCCTCCTTTCCTGCTGATTCATTTATACGACACTGCTATAACAGCCTGTCCGCTCCATTCAGCCTCCCAGTAACATCGTCCACACAGACTCTCTCTGCTCAGAACCTGCTCAAAGTTCTCAAATCTCAAAACCAAAGTGAATTTAATTACTATCATGCAATTATTTTTGATATACTTATACTTTGTATAGGCCCCTTTATGCTTTTTTACTCTTTCCCAGCTTCTGTTCTGTTGTAGTATTTGTATTAGATTTATGTTTGTATATTAATGCTTTGGGACAGATTTCCTAACAGCTTGGACCAGCACAATCCCTCTATTGGTGTTAAAAAACTCCTGTCAGGATTTACTAAAGACACGCAGTGAAAAATTAGCAATGAAAAGGCATTGACACAGTTATTTTTGTGGCTGACCTTATTGTATTTGTAGAAGATTTCCTTTCAGACACAGAATTTACAGATGGAGAGTATTTAAATGAATTAACCCTTTGAGCGGTACGGTCCCTCATATGGGATTTAGAACGTTCGGTGACGTCACATAGCTGCCAAATTTAAACAGCGTTTTCGTGCTTTGGCTCACCCTGAGATGCCGCTGCACTTGTCATATAATCACAACTATGCAGTGTTTTTAACCACATAATGTTTATTTTAGGGTTCAGACATTTAAATACACATAAGTACTAGTAAAAACAATACATTTAGAGTTCGTAAAATACACACAGATGTTTATGGAAGCAGCAATAACAATCCATTCAAATATAATTTGCCGACGTGTTTTATTAATATCAGATACACATAGTGTAAAGGCCCGTTCACACCAAGCAGGATAACTATAAAGATAACGATAAAGATATAGTTCTAAAAATCGTTCTCAATATTAAAGAATAGCATAGTTCACACCACAACTGTAACGATAACGATACAGAGGAACGATATCGTTGTGATCGCTTTCAAAACGATTTTTTTCCAGCTGATGAACGATAAAACACTGACAGCCAATCAGAATCCATACTGCTGTAACGAGCTCGAGAATTTAAAGCGGCAGACGCACGTGCGCTTAGAATAAACAGACGATATCGTTCACTGGTGTGGACGCTAATATCGTTATCTTTATAGTTATCGTTCTTGGTGTGAACGGGGCTTAAGTAACTGTAAAGTTCACTCTATTCTTCTCCCAGTTCACCGGCCACTCATTTGCATGTATTTCGGGAGAAATTTATGAATTTGCATGCGGTAAATCGACTGACGGGACTCTCTGAACTGCAGCACGAACAAACATGGCGGCGCCCATCTCACGATCAAGATCGTTTGGAACGGTTTTTGGAACGACAAAACACACTCATTTACACATATTTGTGAATCGGAATATCAGATAGTTGATGACTTGCTAAGCAAGTTTATGAATATGTTGAATAAAAAAGGAAAAACTAAATAAAAGCAATCCATCTGTCAGACAGTGTATATTATTGTGGCCGCGGTGTGACAAGCATGATGCGTTTCATTAAGGGGAAACGTTCTAAAATAACGGTTGCCTAAAAAAAACTCACTCTGGGGGGACCGCTAGAATATTTTAAACTCACCAGTGAAAGGGTTAAGCAACATCATTTACTAAGGTTTGTGCTAGTCAATTTGCTGTATTTGTGCTATTATTTAATGCCCCAAAAAC